CCAGGTAGACCATGAGCAAAGGTAGATATCCCATGCACTTCAAGTGTTGAGACTATAGGGGAAGATCCAGCAGTATAGATATGCGGTTTGACCAGAGTAGTGGTGACCAAACTGATTAGCCCAAGAAGGCTCATTGCAGCATATAGCCTTTCTGCCATGGTCCTCTGTTCTCCACTCACAGATCTACTTCAGCTTCTAAGTGCTTACTGAGAGTCTTTAAGAAACCCCTTTGAACTGCCTTCAAGTTTAAAACTAGGGGTGGGGGAACTTTTTTAACAAAGAACGGAAAAAAAACGCACAATCCCTCCCAGCTACTGTGGAAATGTGAAAGGTCAGCAGACAATGTGAAGGCCTGTTCCTGTGTGGTGAGCACTAAACGTACTGAGGAGAGCCTGTAGAGGAAAAAAAAAAGGAGGAATATTTTTTCAAGGAAGCTAAGCTGCTGGCAGTCTACACAGTGACTCTGCGCTCAGGAACACAGCCTTATCAGAGCCCCTATGCCTGGCCTGTGGAAGACAGAGCTGCTTTACTGAGAGGAAAAGGATGTTAGTTTAAGGGAGAGCAAATATTGTAAAGTTTACATTGAGTTTCCTTAAACCATTGCCTATACACAAACATATCTATGTAATGTTGAGCTATAGCAATGATAGAAATGAAGCAAAAAAAAAAAATCCAATCTATGCATACGTATGCTCTACGGGACTGACGGAGTACTTGAATACTTCTATGTCTATTAGGATTGTGATGATAAATTCTTGTCTTACTGATATTTCTGTCAAAGCAGATCTGAGCTCTTTAGGCCCCTTTTAATAACAAGCTGATGATAATAAAAGTTGACTGTGTGATAGCAAAAGCTTTTGTTTAGACTTTAGTAATACCATTTTTATAACAGGTTCCCTTTAATCACAGTAAAAGCAAGGATAATAATACCCAGAGATAGTTTGTGGAGTTCATGTACTTCTACACAATCATCATTCGATGGGATAGATATACATAAATGCAGAATATATGGCGAGAGCTGGGTTATGTTGGATTATATGGGTTATATGTTGTGGTTTTTTTAAAATAAAATTCAAAAAAGTGTTTTTTTTTTAAGTTGCGTTTGAAAAACCGCTGCACAAATACCATGTGACATAATAATTGCAACACCCCCACCAATTTATTCTCTAGGACCTCTGCACAATAAATATATATAATGTTTGGGGTTCTCAGAAATTTCCTAGCAAAAAATACTGACTATTGCATGTAAGCATAAAGTGACAGAAAATGCTTGGTCTTCAAGTGGATATGGTGTCCTTGTACAGACATGGTCCTACATCAATGGCCCATCACCCCCATACTCAAGAAACCCTCCCTGGACCCCACCGACCTGAACAACCTTAGACCCATCTCCCTGCTGCCATTTACTTCCAAGCTCCTTGAGTGCTTAGTCTACAATCGCCTAAGCGCCCACCTCACTCGACAACAACCTCCTCGATCCACTACAATCTGGCTTCCATCCCCTACACTCCACCGAAACTGCCCTACTCAAAATCACTAATCGCCAAAGCTAATGGCCACTACTCAGTCCTTTTACTCCTTGACCTCTCCGCGGCCTTCGACACAGTTGACCACCCCCTCCTCCTTAATAAACTACACTCCCTCGGCATCAGAGACTCTGCTCTCTCCTGGCTCTCCTCCTACCTATCCCAATGTTCCTTCAGCGTTACCTATAACGCTACCACCTCCCCCTCTCTGTTGGGGTCCCCCAAGGCTCTGTCCTCGGGACCTTTCTCTTCTCCATCTACACCTCCTCCCTTGGCAAACTGATACACTCCCACGACTTCAACTATCACCTCTACACCGATGACATGCAAATTTACCTCTCCACCCCTCGCCTCATCCCTTCAGTCTCCGCCCGTATCACCCACCTGCTGAATGACATATCAGACTGGATGTCGCTCCATTTCCTCAAACTGAACCTTTCCAAAACCGAGCTCCTAATCTTCCCCCCAGCCCGCGCCCCCTCCCCACCCTCTCCATCACGACCAACAACGCCACCATCAGTCCCACCCCGCAAACCAAAGTCCTAGGTGTCACTCTAGACTCAAACCTGTCCTTCCAACTCCATGTCGAATCGTTGGCAAACTCATGCAGACTCCATCTCTGCAACATCTCCAAAATACATACGTTCCTAACCCCAGACACTACTAAACAACTCGTTCACTCCCTCATTATTTCACGTTTGGACTACTGCAACTCCCTTCTCACCAGCCTACCTCATCACAGACTATCCTTGCTTCAGTCTATCCTGATCTCGGCGGCCAGACTCATCCACCTTACCAACCGCTCCTCTTCTGCCACCCCCGTCTGTCATTCCCTCCACTGACTCCCGATTGCCCAACGCATTAAATTCAAACTACTAACACTGACATACAAAGCCATTCACAACGCTGCCCCAAACTACCTCACCGACCTGATACCCAAATACCACCCAACCCATAATCTTCGCTCCTCACAAGACCTCCTACTTTCTATTCTAGCTCCCTGGTCTCCTCCTCCCACGCCCGACTGCTGGACTTCTCCAGGAATTCCGCCATCCTCTGGAACTCACTACCCCAATCCATCAGACTGTCACCTACCCTCCTCACCCTGAATACCCATCTCTTCAGGGAAGCCTACCCCACCCTCACCTAACAGCCGATCTCCTTCACTCCTCCTACCACTCCATCCCCCACAGCCACTTCCTCCTGTACCACTTTCCCCTCCCTCCTAGATTGTAAGCTCGAAAGAGCAGGGCTCTCGAACCCCTCGTGTACTGTTTTGTTATTGTATTGTCTCATGTTCTGTCCCCCACTAAAATGTACAGCGCTGAGCAAACCTTTCTGGCGTTATATAAATACTGTATAATAATAATAAAGGTAGAAATCTGAACCAAAATTGTTGCATGTGAACATTATTATTTTTTTTCATGTGAGCGTTCATTTATTCTTTTCTGGGGAGGGGGCATTCTTTGTCTTTCACCTTTTGGGAGGGTGTTCTCCCGTGGGGGAAAGGCAATTTTTTTGGGGGGGGTGGGTTGTGGATGATATGTACATACACCAGTGTGTATCATATGTTTTTATTTTCTATGTAATTAATACATTTTTGGTAGCCACAAGAAGGTGCCATTTCCAGTTTTTGCTCTTTTGGTTCATTAATTTCAATGGCCAGAATAGATAAATCTTCTGGTCAATGAAATGAATGAACACCTGAATGTGTATAAACATGCCTGAACCAGTTTGAAAAACTCTGCTTTAGGTGTATTTTTAAACTCCTGCCAGGAGAAAAGGTTCAGAAGAGCCCAGTGTGCATGAAGCCTAAAAAAAGCTATGCTTAGGTGCGGACTGACTATTTGAGCACTTGGGCACTGCCCGAGGGCCCGGGGTCAGTAGGGGGCCCCATGAGATGCCCCTGGTACCTTTCATTGGCTTTTTCATTGGCTTTTTTGGGTGTGGGCGAGGACACAGGGACCCCATGATCCCCTATTGCCCGGGGGGCCCCATGAATTGTCAGTCTGCCCCTGGCTATGCTTACTAAATCTTCTTACCATGCCAAATACCGTGGCACTTACTGTACATACCTATTTATGTGGTCAGCAATTTTTGCCACTGGAAAAAAAAACTTAAAGTAATATTAAAGGTAGAATTCCCTTTTTAAATAACAAACATGTTATACTTTCCTTCTCTGTGCAGTGGTTTTGCACAGAGAAGCCCCGACCGATCCTCCTCTTCTCGGGTCACCCGCTGATGCTCTTGGCTCTTCCTCTTCTCTGCGTGCCCCCAGAGCAAGTGGCTTGCTCTGGGGGCACTCTTGTGCTTAATCCAGAGACCTGCTCTGAATGTCCATTAGGGCACACAGAATTGGACTTGGCTAGACTTCTCGCTCCCTCCTCTCTGACTGTGATTGGCAGCCGCTGGAGCCTGCTGCTGTCTCTTTGCCAATGAGAAGACAGAGACCTGGGAGAGCAGTCACTCTTGTGCACATCGCTGGATCATGATCGGGCTCAGTTAACTGTATGGGTGGGCTGCAGGGGAAGCTGTATACTGAAGGTTTTTTACCTTCATGTATAGAATGCATGAAGGTAAAAAACCTTGAGCCTTTAGAACCATTTTAAACACCAAAACCTATTTGAAGTGCTGTGATCCCTAAGGGGGAAGGTACACCTGCTAAACATGAAAAGGTAAATAATTGCATGTAGGATTTTACTTTCATTGTATCATGGGCAGAAGCAGGGGTGGACTGACAACTCATGGGGCCCCCGGGCAATAGGGGATCATGGGGCCCCCGGGCAATAGGGGATCATGGGGCCCCTGTGTCCTCACCCACACTCAAACCACACCCAAAAAATGAAAGGTACCAGGGGCATCCCATGGGGCCCCTTACTGACCCTGGTCAGTCTGCCCCTGGGCAGAAGACATGGCTGCCCTGTATGTGAATTAACAGTTAATTTATCTTGGAATGGATGGCTTATCATCACATATTGTAGAGATAAAGCATGTTAACATTTTCCAGAGCGGGATTATTACTAATAACTGCACAGTCTGGAAGAAATGAAAATAAATACATGCCAATAAAAATAAACCTATGATTTGGGTAACAGTGTGTTTTTTGTGCATTTTTGTACAGTGAAAACTAAAAAAGAAAATAATGTTTTAAGAGTAAAGTGGAACTTGAGATAATTGTTCACATCAGAACGCAGAGCAGGAAACCAATGTTCCATGTGCGTTTCCTGGATCGCGTTCAAAACAAACTGCACTTGCGATCTGCAGCGGGTGTTAACTTAATGACCCCCAAATACAGGTCACAAATGCAGTGCGTTTTCCTGTACCTGATCACATGGTACAATAGTACCATGTGATCGGGTTGCTCTGCATTTTGTAAAGAAGTGCAAGCAATTCTCTTGGTGTGGGCTGAAATCGCACTGCACCCCATTTGCATGTGAATCATACATCACATTCCTGATTGATGGCACTAAAACCTACCACCAGGGGCGGACTGACCATTCGAGCACTCGGGCACTGCCCAAGGACCCGGGGTCAGTAGAGGGCCCCATGAACTGCTCTTGGTACCTTTTTATAGGCTTTTTTTTGAGTGTGGGCAAGGACACAGGGGCCCCATGATCCCCTATTGCCCGGGGGCCCCATGAGTTGTCAGTCCGCCCCTGCCTACCACATTATCTAATTCTTCTCCACTCTGTAAAACAAAACAAAAAAATGGAAGCTGGAGTACCACTTTAGCTTTTGATAAGGGATGAGCCACTGTAGTGACTCATTCAGTCATATATGTAAAAAAGAAGTATAGGCAAACATTTCTTTGGCCACTTTTTCTCTTCTGGGTCATACTAGTGCAATCATTTTCACATTCCTGCAACTCAGATTCGGGTGAGAGTGGGCTAAAGCCCACTATCGGCTGACCTCATAGAGCCAGTCTAGAATCTGGAGAGAACCTGACAATAATGTCAGGATATACCCAGATGAGTGACCGGCAGCTGGCTCAGCCTTTCAGCATGCCTGAGTCAGGGGCTCCCTCCTCCTCCACAGCCCAGTGCTCCAGTGAGCGCTGGAGTGGGAAAGTAGAGAGCTGGTGGCTGACAGTCACTGCTCTCTGCTCAGTAAAGACCAAAAACTGAGCGATTAGTGGCCATGTGATCACTCAGCTCTCAGAGATGGCGGGGGAAAGCAATGGAACGATGCTGCAGCCACATAGGTAAGTATGTTCATTTGTTATTTTGAAATCCCACACTTTAAATTGCAGCTTAAGCTATTGACCTTTGCAACCAACTGGATGTGTACAAAAGAGAAGCTATGCTGTCTTTGGAAAATAAATGAAAAGGAGCCTAAAGCTTTATCAGTTGGCTTAAATGTAAATTACTCATATGTGATATCTATACTTGACTAAAAAAAAGAGAGATAACATTTTCCTTTTTTAAAGTGATTCTAAAGGTTTATTTATTTTTAAGAAAAAATAACAAACGTGTATACTTACCTGCTGTGTGTAGTGGTTTTGCACAGAGCAGCCTGGATCCTCCTCTTCTCGGGTCCCCCATAGGCTCTCCTGTCTCCTCCCTGCTGTCGGGTGCCCCCACAGCATGCAGCTTGCTATGGGGGCACTCGCTGCTCCGTGCGCACATTCACACACGAAGCCGCCACTTGGGCCCACCCCCCTCCCCCTTCTTATTGGTTCACTGGCTGTGTCTTACCTAAACAGTCTCTTTCCTGTGAGCTGGTTTAGGTAAGTGGCTGCCTTCAGGCCTTCTGCTGTGCCGCCTCCTTTCCTGGCTCCACAAGTAGTCCTCTCTCTAGGGACTGGTGAGGCAGAGCGATCATCCTATCCACATTCCAAGTAGGTTGGCCCTTTCCCACTGGGCCCCCTTTCAGGCTCCTGCATCTCTTCCTCTCTCACATCTTACTCCTGAACTCTCCTGCTGCTGAGCAGGCTCAGTCACTCTTATGGGCTGTCTTGACCCCATGCCAAGCCTCCTTCCTGAGAATTGGCCAGGATCTCTCAAGAGTGCAGACCAGCTCCTCTCCATCCTACCCACTAAGTTCTAGAGACTTCTCCAAGTCTCTAGGTCAGGGGGAGGTATCAGTGAGCTGAGCTGCAGAGCCTCTTAGCCCTAACCTTAATTTGTCCCTCTGACTATCACCCAGGCTGCTGCTCAGCCTTCTAACTAAAAAAAAATTACTAATTAAAGATTTTTTGTCCTGCACTCAGAATTATAAACTCTTAGGGGTTTATTTACTAAAGCTGGAGAGTGCAAAATCAGACTCACTTCTGCATAGAAACCAATCAGCTTCCAGGTTTCATTGCCAAAGCTTCATTGAACAAGCTGAGGTTAGAAGCTGATTGGTTTCTATGCAGAAGGGAGTCTGATTTTGGACTCTCCAGCTTTAGTAAATAAACCCCTTAGTGTCAATATAACAACCTGTGGTAACAATACCATACATCAAAAATATATAAACAAATACAGTAAACCACAAATAAACCGAAAAAAAAATTGTCTAAAATGGCTGCAGCTCCTATTAAGGGTGCTGACCCTCACAAATGACAATCAGAAATATAAGAGCTCTGCCCTGTGTGATCCCCTCATAATTATAAAGCAAACATGAATATGCCTCAATACAGTCCATTGTGACTTGTGTGAAAGTGAGATCAATATTTTCCAAATAGTGCTTAGGTGCTCTTTATACCATCGTGCAATCCATGCACTGTGCTCCCCACCAGTGGACCCACTCACCGACATTTTTGTGAACTCATAATTAAACAAGAGTCAAACTCGCTTTGGTGGAGGAGATTTTCTGGTTCTGCTGTGACTCTGCCTCTGCCCAAGTCTCAATCCATCAATTGTGGCGATAGGATGCTCATACATAAGAAATGGAGTAACCTGTACTGTAATGTGATCCATTTATTAAAATCCAAAGGATAAAAGTGTATATACTGCACTTACATTGATTTAATAGTAAAAAGCATTAAAAAGGAAGTACTGCATCGGCGTGTGCTCCATCTGCCGGAAATTACACCACCACGGTCCGCACCTGTTGCGTTGCGCCCCTCCCACTGGGTGTCCTCAGAGGTCAGGAGCCATGATGATAAGAAGAAATTTATATAAATCTAGTCCTCCCCACCCTCTACACCCATTCTATTACTTAAACCGGATATGATCAAAACCGTAAGTGCTCCCGCGGCCATTTTACTGCTCACAGGGGTGTCCTCAGCCATCATTCCTAGACCTCCCCTGTTGATCTAAAACTGGATGTGGTATCTTGGTCATCTTTATAAAGGTGTATAGTCCTCCTGCACCGATATGGTACAATCTACTACTAAGCAGCCAGCACCCAAATGCCTCAACCTAGGCACAGGTAATTGGTAAGTGTATATACAGATAGTGCAGCGCTATATGAACATCTAATGGCAGGTAAGAATAATACGTATCAAATGATATTATTGATAAACATATAGAGCATACCACGAAACAGAGACAACAAACTGCTGCAAATGGTATAACACACTATGCCCTCTTGATCCTCATCTGAGGGATCATCAATAAGTGCAAGCAGTGTGTGTGTCCCTTTGTAGGGAAATATATAAAAATATATATAGCGTGGTGAGTCGTGCCACATAACACTACAGACAAAGTGATAAAATTCTTCACATACAAATGTCCATTTAAAAATAAAAACACTCTCATGCAGGTGTTAATCTTGTGCTTGTGCTTGTAAAAAGCGTGCCAATCCTCCGTGGCTGGAGTGCCCCCTCACCTTCCTGCCCAGGCCCCTCAGGACCAATGAGCCTTATAAATCACACTGTTGTTCCTCCCAGGACTCGGTAGTCTTCTTAGTAATGGTGGTGGTACTCCCTCCTCCTCTGGTATATGAAACTCCAATATCTACTGGCACTGCTGAATGGATGACACTCCATGCACATTCCCAATGATAAGACAGAGAATAGCCAACATAGTGTAAATCTGTTTGATTAAACCTTCAAAGTTTATAAAAAATGCCCACTCACAATTAAGTCAAAAATGAGCCTTCACACCACATTAAATGTGTACTGCATGTGTGGATGACAGACGGGTGCACCAAGATGGCACCGCGCCGGCTCTGACGGCACTACGCTTCCGGAAGCCCCTCCTACTGGCGTACCTACTCGGTATGTCACGGTCAGTCACATGACTTCCTCAGGATATCTTGGCCATCTTCTTACTCTCAGAAATCTACTTGACCATCATTTCTAAATAGCCCCTATTAATCCACAACCGGATATAATACCACAGCCATCTTATTACTCACAGGGGTGTACTCAACCACTAATTCTGAACCCCATCCCTTTATTGGGGCTAGGTGTATAATCAAGCTAAAATAGTTGTGTATAACAACCACCTTACTACTCTCAGGGGTAAATAAGTAATTATTCACTATAATACTATTAATGCCTAGTATACATCCCCATTAACCCTAAGTGTGCCATTCTACTTTTATAGTATAGTATTTTTTTATATAAAAAAAAATTAGCTAGCTCCCCCTAGCTAACTAAGAGGGCGCTACACTGCTTTAACAACTAAATTCTCAGTGGTGGGGTTTCTAAAGCCCTGGTTCACACCACTGAGACTTCAGGTGCTACATGTCATTTACAAATTGCACCTGAAGTAGCATCAAATGTATTTCCATAGCATTGTCTTAATTGGTGCGATTACAAGTAGTGCGATTTGAAAAACAGTTCCTGTATTACTTTTTCACCACCTCAGTGCAATTTAACTCTCATAAGATAAATGGCACTGAAATTGCACCTGTGTCAAAGCTCAACTTTGAAATTGCATTCGGTGTGAACCAGGGCTAACACAAGAAAGAAAAGCAAAACCAGCTCTCAGGTCCATAAACATCCTAGGAACACGGTAACGGTCACTCACTGAGGTGCAGCCCTCTAAAGATCTGGGAATCTTGATAATACTGGAAAAGAACAAAAAAGGGCGCACTTTCCTCATGCATTACCATGATAAAAAATAATTTATTGAGAATGACAAAAGTGTATACTCACAAACCAAGAGTCATAAACAAAAGCAAGGAACCAATGTGACAGTCCCAGCATGTGGTGGTCTTGCGACAGGGTGTGCTAATGCATTACGGGCGTTGTGAGGAAGGGCGCTCGTCTCCCGTAACGCGTTAGCACACCCTGTCGCAAGACCACCACTTGCTGGGACTGTCACATTGGTTCCTTGCTTTTATTTATGACTCTTGGTTTGAGTATACACTTTTGTCATTCTCAATAAATTATTTTTTATCACGGTAATGCACGAGGAGAGTGCACCCTTTTTTGCTCTTTTCCAGTATTATCGTGAACCAGGGCTAAGGCTCATTTTTGAGACAGGATTTTAGGCTCCATGCACACTAGCTTTCTTTTAAGCTCCTAGAAGCTATTGTCAGCATTTTTTTCTGCTGCTAGAAGATAAATAGTGTTATCCTATGTATCCATGCACACTACTTTAGGCTGTTAGCATTTTTCAAGCTTCAGCATTTAGGAGCAGAAATTTTTTTTTTCTTTTTTTTTTTAGAGTTTTAAAATGCTACTCAAACATTCCTAACAGCTTTTTTGCTAGCTTTTTTTTGCCTACATGTACTAAAAAACACTAATAAAATGCTAGCACTCCTAAATGCTCCTAGACACCTCTAAATGCTAGTAAAATGGTACTAAAATGCTATTAAATATGGTAAATGCTAATATGCATGGATCCTTACTGTTGCATGTATCTTTAGGTAGACTGTGCCACCACAATTACCACTGTTTTGCTACATTGTTATCAGGGGCGGACTGACCATTTGAAACTTGAGCACTGCCCGAGGGCTCGGGGTCAGTAGGGGGCCCCATGAGATGCCAATGGTACCTTTTTCATAGGCTTTTTTGAGTTTGGGCAAGCACACAGGGGCCCCATGATCCCCTATTGCCCGTGGGCCCCATGAGTTGTCAGTTTGCCCGACTGTTATATATTTCCAGGGTTAGAATGTTTAGCTGACCAGACATAGGATGAAATGCAATAGTGAAATCCTCAGGCAGCTTTTCTTTGCCTGACATGACCATCAGTGTTCAGTGGACATTACTACTTAGAATGCAGGAACTGCAGCTGTCCAATTGTGCTGCAGTTCACCCATGTCAAAGAACAAAAAATCATCCATCTACTAGTCATTCGTATTAGTCTACATAAATGTATTACCAAGATATGTTGTGATTTTAGCATATGATTGTTCATATTTAAAGACAGTAGCTGTCATTGGGTGTATGGAAGTAAAACAACTATTTATTAGATTTATGGGAACCTAGACAATGGAGAAGCAGCTACAATGTCATTTACATTTTATAGATAAACAGGCCCTTCTTCAAAATCTGTATATATTTTCAGCTTTGTATCTGTCATTATGGAAAAGAAGATTTAAAGTGAAGAAAGTTTAAATTAATATTTTTAGTTAAGCACAAAAATTTATCACCGTGACAATACGTTTTGCCTCCGCTACCTGTGTAGACTTGCATCTCTGTGTGCCTGTATTCTGTAGTAATATAATATTCACTTCAAACTAAGTATGATATTTGTAGTTCTTAGGAGTGTTTATACTCACACCTGTTAGTATTTAAGCTTGAGCGATTTCATTTACTTTGAAGTTGGCACCAAAATCTCGCTAAGTGATATATGACCTCTTTGTTATATTCCAGATTTGCTGGTATCATTTGCAATGGAGATTCTGATTTTTGAATGATCAATGGAGTCACAAGCCATAGAAGAACAAAAGCAAGACCCGCATACAGACAAAGCAAAATATCCACTCTAATTTAGGCCTTTGTGCCTTGGAAGTGTCAGTGCACTGTCAGAGTCCAATACCAATATTTACTTTTATCACATTTTAAAAAAATAAAGAACTACAGTAAATCCACCAAAGGCTCTCAGGACAGGATAGGAAGTTCTACAAACTTTCGAATTGTGTGAAAAATTCACATAAAAATAATTTTACAGAAAAAAAAACTGCTAAATGATTGAAAATTTCAAATAAAAAGAAATTTACAAAAAAAAATGCTAAATGTGTGTCATTCTTTCACTGCTATCTTCTTAATTACATAGTTACGCACTCAGTCTGGCTGAAAAAAGACAAAGGTCCATCCAGTTCAACCATAAAACCATAGTTAAACAAATGCCTGAAGTTTGGGGCAGATCCCTTCAAAGCATTTAACAATTTAGGTTAACAAAAAAGAGGAAAGCTCTTATATGGATTTGATATTACATAAATACCTCAAGGTGCCCCCATTGTGAAAAAACTATTTACCCAACCTTTCTACTCCCCTGTGATCTATACTGATAGCTGAGCCACAGGACACCAAACAAATGTACCTACCCCTGACTTTGACTGACCGCTGCCAATCACCAGTCAAAATCTGGGGTTAATACTGGAGTTTTTTGTCAGGGTTCCCATTTATACTTAACACCAAGTGATGTTGGAAAAATTAGCTCATTGACCAGCATTTCGTTGGGGCTGTGGTTCCTCTATAATCCCCTGTAACCCTCCCTGACCAGTGGGATTTGTTTGTGCACCTGCAGGGAAAAATGTTCTAGAAAGTATCCTTTATCATACAATAAGTCTAAACCTGGCCATAGATGGACCATTTGATCCATCTATGTCCGTTCCTGTTTGAGAGCAGTCAATCTAATGACCAACTGATCTTGAACACGCTTGTTGAAAAATGTTGCTTCAATCAACACTGCTGCTACTCAGTTGAACAACAAACTGAAATATGTTGGTTTTATTACAGCACTCAGTCTTTCTGGGTATCAGCATGGCACATCTTGACTTGGCAATATTTGTCCACTCTTCCTTGCAAAAACACTCCAAATCTGTCAGATTGCGAGGGCATCTCCTGTGCACAGCCCTCTTCAGATCACCCCACAGATTTTCAGTTGGATTCAGGTCTGGGGTCTGGCTGGGCCATTCTAAAACTTTAATCTTCTGGTGAAGCCATTCCTTTGTTGATTTGGATGTATGCTTTGGGTTGTTGGGAAGTTCCTCTTTGTGTTCAGCTTTTTGGCAGAAGCCTGAAGGTTTTGTGTCAATATTGACTGGTATTTGAAACTGTTCATAGTTCCCTCTACCTTGACTAAGGCTCCAGTTCCAGCTGAAGAAAAACAGCCCCAAAGCATGATGCTGCCACCACCATGCTTCTCTGTGGGTATGGTGTTCTTTTGGTGATGCAGAGTATAGGTTTTGCACTAAACATATCTTTTGGAATTATAGCCAAAATGTTCAACCTTGGTTTCATCAGACCAGAACACATTTTCCCACATGCTTTAGGGAGACTCCATAAGTGTTTTTGCAAAATTTAGCCGGGCTTGGATGTCTTTTTCGTAAGAAAAGGCTTCCATCTTGCCACTCTGCCCCATAGCCCAGACATCTGAAGAATAAGGGGGATGCTGATGATCTAATGATGCTGTAAGCCTCTTCGCAGCCACCCAGACCAGTTTTCTTCTCGTCTTTTCATCAATTTTGGAGGAATGTCCAGTTCTTGGTAATGTCACTGTTGCTCCATATTTTTGCCACTTGATGACTGTCTTCACTTTGTTCCATGGTATATCTAATGCCTTGAAAATTCTTTTGTACCCTTCTCCTGACAGATACTTTTAACAATGAGATCCCTCTGATGCTTTGGAAGCTCTCTGCGGACCATGCCTTTTGCTAGGATGCGACTAAGAAAATGTCAGGAAAGACCTTCTAGAACAGCTGAACTTTATGTGGGGTTATTCAGAGGCACTTCAAATGATGGCAGGTGTGAACTGATTCCTATTTAACATGATTTTGAATGTGATTGCTTAATTCTGAACACAGCTACATCTCCAGATATGAGTGTGTGCATACTTATGAAACCACATTATTTTAGTTTTTTATGTTTACTTTCCCCCCTAAAATATTTCAGTTTGTTTTTCAGTTGAGTTGTACAGTTTATAGGTCACATTAAAGGTGGAAAAAGATCTGAAATGATTTAGCTTTGTCTCATTTTTTTACATCACAGAAAACTGACATTTTAACGGGTGTGTAGACTTTTTATATCCACTGTATATGTGTGTGCAGGGGCAGACTGACCATTTGGAAACTCGGGCACTTCCCGAGGGCCCGGACTCAGTAGGGGGCCCCATGAGATGCCTCTGGTACCTTTTTCATAAGATTTTTTGAGTTTGAGCAAGGACACAGGGGCCCCACGATCCCCTATTGCCCGGGGGCCCCATGAGTTGTCAGTCCGCCCCTTTGTGTGTGTGTATATATATATATATATATATATATATATATATATATATATATAAAAAATTTCTTTTATATGAAGTGAACTTTTACTAAGATAGCGCCATTAACCACTTGCCCTCCAGAGGATTTACCCCCTTCCTAACCAGGCCATCTTTTTAGATACGATGCTGTGTTACTTTAACTGACATTTGCGCAGTCATGCAACGCTGCACCCAAATAAAATTGTCCTTTTTTCTCACAAATGGAGATTTCTTTCGGTGGTATTTGATCGCCTGTGCGTTTTTAATTTTTTTCTGCTATAAAGAAAAAAAGACCGACAATTTAAAAAAAAAAAAAGTTTTTACTTTTTTGCATCAAAATCGTCATAAATTTAGGCCAAAATATATTTTGCTACATGTCTTTGCTAAAAAAAAATCCCAATATATGTAAATGAAATGGTTACCTGAAAGATATTTATTTATTTATACTAGTAATGGCGGCGGGCATTCTAACACTGGGGGGGAAATGACTAACTGTCACTGACATCCCCAGTGAAACTAATACAGTGATCAGTACTAATAAAAAGCACTGACACTGTACTAATGACACTGGGCAGGAAGGTGTTAACATCTGGGGTGATCAAAGGGTTAACTGTGTGCTGTGTGTGTTTTACTGTGGGCTTTGTGCTGTGCTTTACTGTGTGAGCATGCTGCTATGCAGAGCCATACAAAGCAGCTTGCTGGAGCTGACAGGGGAGAGATCTGTATTGTTTACATACAGACCTCTTCCCCGTCAGTGATACTCAGCGATCGCTGGGTGCTGGTGGGGAATCACCAGTCGGGACCCGATAAATGACAGCTGAAGCTGCCAACGGCAGCACGGGTAGGGCGCGCAGGCCCCCTATCCGGGACTACAAAATCACGTATATATTCATGGTTAGGCGCAGTCTTGTCACCCTGTTGCAGTAGTAGTAGACTTTTTATCCACACAGTCGGGAAGCGGTTAAAGTGCATAGTTCCACTGGAGCTATGTTTACCCATCAAACAATGCAATGGTGAAGTGTGTTGCTGTTCTGTGAGGTCTCAGCAGAGGCATAGTTGGGACATGGAAGTAATCTGGAACTGACTGCAGGACTTCACCAAAGGGATCTTGTCTAGTGAAGAAGGCCAGGAATCAGCAGCTGGGATGACCAGATATATATAGCTACACACAGAAATGGGGACCAGACCATGTATATCTATGTCTTTAAAGTGAGATTTATTTACATTGAAAGATAACTATACGCCAGCAGCAGTAAACATGAGAATGCATGAAAATCAAAACTACATGTCAAATTGCAGAAGCCTAACAACTAATTATATACACACAAATATATACAAAATATATACAAGATGGGAAGCATGGGTAATAGGGAAATAACAGGGGCAAGGACAGGGGAAATCAGGACTGGGTACAGGGAAAAGGGGAGTAGGCGTAAGCAGCAGGGTACAGGATGCAAGGCTAGTTTAGGAGCAGGATAACAGGCATAAGGATCTGGCATCAGGCATGGCAATCAAAACACTGATGCAAGGAGCAATAGTAAGGCTGGCCATAGACTATACAATGTTCTGTCCAATTTCTGCCCAATTTCCTTTAGATTTACCTTCAACTATGTAGTGCAAGAGCCTGCCAAATTGGATACAATTGAAAGTGTTGTTAGTTTTGACCTCCT